GGGGAGGGGAGGGGAAGGCAGCCAGCTGCAACAAGGTGCCCATCCTCCAGCCACTCACAGCCATGGACCCATAGCTCCCTCAGCTCGGCTTTGCATGGCTTTGTGGGATGGTGGAGATAAGCCCCCATTCTCCAGGGCAGGTGCAGTAAGGGCAAGGCCGGAGGGGCAGTTCCCACTGTGTGGGGGGGGCGTTGCAGAGCTCTTCACTGAGGCAGCTGGAGGCTGGGATGGTACTTACTGTGTCCAGGTCTATGCTGAGAGTTATGGGCCACAGGGGATGGGCGCTGGCCTAGAAGGCCTGGGATGGGCACCTCCTCTGAGGGTGAGGTTACAACAGGGCTTTGAGGTAAGGGAGAGGCAGGTTCCAACCTCAGCTCTGACATTCACTTGCTGTGTAACCAAGGGCAAGTTTCTTTCTTTTTTTTTTTTCCTTTTTGTCTTTTTTACTGACTGTTAACGGGATCGCAACCCTCGGTGTCGCGCCTGCACTGCGCTCAGCCAGTGAGCGGGAACCAGTCTCCACATGGGATCCGAACCCTCGGCGGGAGCGCCGCCGCGCTCCTAAGCGGTGCACTCTCCAGTGCGCCACCGGGCCGGCCCCAAGAGCAAGTTTCTAACTTCTCTGGGCCTGTTTCTTGGGTGTAAGGTGTGACAATGATGGTAGTCCTGGATGATGGAGGGGAGGGAGAGGTGCCAGAGCTCAGTGTGTGCACTTAGTGACTGGGGGCCAACTGTCCTGTCTGCCCTTCTTCTCTTAACCCCCAATGGGAGAGCCTGGCAGGCAGATGAAGTGTCATTCCTGTTTTAGGAATGGAGCCACTGAGGTGGAGAGGAGCAGTGCTTGCTCCACAAGCAACTGAGTCATAGGGCCAGGAATCAAGCTCTGGGAACCTCAGGAGACTTGCACAGAGATGAGGCAGGCACAGAAAGACACAAGTCAGGGACAAGGGCCGGCCAGTCGGCTCAGCTGGTCAGAGCGTGGGGCTGACAACACCAAGGCCAAGGATTCAATCCCTGTACTGGCCAGCTGCCAACAAACAAGTCAGGGACAAGCCTAAGGACCAGAGGTCAGCCTGGAGCAGGCCCAGCAGAGGGGTCAAGAGCACCCCATGTCCAGACATATTCTAAGTTGGCTCTGGAGAATCTGCCCCCCTGGTGTGCATGACTGGGATTGTGACTATGGTGGATTTGATGCCTGGGATTAGGTTACATTGTGTGGCACAGCAGACCTTAAGACAGGAATATCATCAGGTAGAGCTGACATAATAAGGGGGGAGGTGTTTTTTTTTTTTTTTTAAATGACCGGTAAGGGGATCTTAACCCTTGACTTGGTGTTGTCAGCACCACGCTCTCCCAAGTGAGCTAACTGGCCATCCCTATATAGAGATCCAAACCCGTAGCCTTGGTGTTTATCAGCACCGCACTCCCAATTGAGCCATGGGCTGGCCCCCTGACTTATTATGTTTATTTTTATTTTATTTTATTTTTTTTAAAGATGACCGGTAAGGGGATCTTAACCCTTGACTTGGTGTTGTCAGCACCACGCTCAGCCAGTGAGCAACCGGCCATCCCTTTATGGGATCCGAACCCGGGGCCTTGGTGTTGTCAGCACCACACTCTACCAAGTGAGCCATGGGCCGGCCCTGACTTATTATGTTTAAAAGCAGAGTTTTCTCTGGATGGTTGAACTTGGAGTGATTCAAAGCAAGGAAGGTTCTCCGTGGTTGAGATGAGTGAACCACGTGGCCAGGGCCTGAGAGCTGCTCTCAGCCATCATCCAGCAAGACAATGGGACCATGGTCCTACAGCCATAAGGAAGTAAGTTCTGCCAAGAAGAAGAATGTGCTTGGAAGCAGGTTTATCCACAGAGCCTCCAGATGAGAATTCAGCCAGCTGACAAGTTGGTTTCAGTCTTGGGATACTGAGAACTGTGAGTGAATAAATGTGGATTGTTTTAAGCTGAGTTTGTGGCATTTTGTTATGCAGCAATGTCAGACTAATACAAACACATACAGAAGTGTTGCCCCCCAGGCCCATTCACAGGAGTTCAGCCCTGGGAAAGGGTAGGAAGGCAGAAGAAGCATACAGAGTTGTTCACAACACTGGTGCTTATCCATGACCTCTGTGTTGGTCACCACACCTTAGACATGGATTGTTAGGGTCCTACAGATGGACTCCAGCTCCAGGTGCTGGAACCCAGGTGCTAGGATCAAGAGGAGTATTCACCCCTGATACACTCACAGTCTTCTCATGTGGATGGGGTGGTACTCACCAGGCAAGCTCAGGGGACTCATTGTGACCTTGGGCACATCTTCTACGAGCTTCCAAGTCCTTGTCTAGACCACAGGGACCCGCTGTGTGAGAAGCCCCTGGTGTAGTGCCAGGAACACAGTAGGTGCACACAATTAGTGCACACAGGAGGCACACAGAGTAGGGCTACTGAATGTTTGCCCCAACAGGTTATCAGGCCTTGGAGCAGATTTTGACTTCTCACTGAGGTCAACTGCAGGAAGTCTGTGAGCAGCCATTTCAAAGATGTTTTCACAAATTGAGATTTTGCATATCAGACCTCCACACTGATCTCCAGAAACTAACCCTGGCTTTTCCTAGGAGGAGTCCTGCACCTTGGCAGGACGCTCAGTCAACCAACATACATCTTTCAAGCACCTACGTACATCAGGGCCAGGATACATCAGTAATAAGAGGAAAACGGCAGGGGTACAGATGTTCCTGACAGCTCCAGGCCAGAATTAGTTCTCCTATGGTAACTGGCAACCAATAGGCACCGGAGCAGACTCAGACCTGCCCAGCTCTCACCAAGTCCCTTCCACTACAGTCCTAATGCAACTCTCATGAGACCATCCCCCCACCCCCTACCAGGCAGGCACTATTTCATTCCTGGATGGAGCAGGGGCCTTTGGACCTGCCTCTTCTCCTTGCTCCAGCCTCAGTGGCTACTTTGAACTCCTCACACACTGGAGGGTCTATTACTTGTGAGTTGCTGCTTATGCTTTCCCAACCCTATTCCCAGATCAATCTGCAGGGCAGCCTTCTCTGGCCTCTAGAGAAGGTCAGTTCATCTACCCATTACTTCCTTCCTTGTACTCATTGTGGTTTGTAACACAATCTCGTGTCTGACTGGTTAACATCTGCCCTGTGGGCCAGATGGCATTCTGTCCACAGCAGGAATCCCACAAAGCCTGCCAGAGCAGATGCTCAATTCAAGTTTGTGTCTTGATCAAGATCCCTGTCTGCGGGCCGGCCTGGTGGCGCACTGGAGAGTGCGCCGCTTGAGAGCGCAGCGGCGCTCCTGCCGGGGGTTCGGATCCCATGTGGAGACTGGTTCCCGCTCACTGGCTGAGCGCGGTGCGGGCGCAACACCGAGGGTTGCGATCCCGTTACCGGTCAGTAAAAAAGATAAAAAAGGAAAAAAAAAAAAAAAGATCCCTGTCTGCTGAGTGAGGCTTGCTATGGTCAGCCTTGGTTCCCCCCGTCCCCCCCCGCATCTCTCAGGGTTACATTACTAGGATGGCATTTATATGTTATAATTCACAGGAGGCTGAGCAGGCCACCTTAGAGCCCCCATCCATGACGTGGGGCCATAATTGCCTGTTACCCAAGCAGCACACGAGTCAGCTCAGGCTCTCAGGGCCCTTAGCTCCAGTTTTGGCCCAGGAAGTCCAAGTCTCAGTATCTTGGCCTCCCCTTCCTTGGGCTTCTGGGAGGATGAACTGCATCTCTCAGGAGATGGGGGGTGTGGAGGTGAGGCGGGGACTGCTGGCTCCTCTGAGGGTTTTGGGCCATCTGTGAATCACTTTGTGCTTCGTTTTCTTGCATGTGAAGTGTGGAAAATCAAATAACTTATCTCAGAGGTCATTAGGAGGATAAATGTCAGTGCATACATGGATGGTACTGAAACCTGTGCCTGATGCCCACTCATCAAGTATGCAAGGCTGGGTCCTTTGTCTTCTCCAACTCCCTGCCGAGAGCCTAAGATAGAAGCTCTCCAGTTCCTTCCCTGGAACAGGCGCGTGGGGGTGGATGCCAGCTTGTGCCAGGGGCTTCACACACACAAGCATGGCACACATGTGCCGTCAGCAGAAAACGTCTGGACACTAAGTAGAACCGAGGAGAGGCTCAGGAACAAGCACTGCCTGCTGCCCTAGGCCGTCACTGCAGCGTCGACTTCTTCCTGGTGACCTTGGGACATGCTGGGGTCATCTGCTGAGACACACATCTCTGACCACTGGCTGACCCCACAGAACTGTGCAGACCCCTCTCTCCTGGGGTCCCCCTGTTGACTGTCAGCTGGTGCTAGGTGCTGGGAACTCAGAGGGCCCGCCCTGGCCAGTGGGGACGCTGGCCGGGAAAGAGGCTGGACTGAGGGGACAGTAAAGAGAGGAGGCGGTGAGGGTGCTCAGGAGCCACTGTGGATTTTAAGGAAAGAGATCGGCTCGGAGTCGAGCCGTGAAAAGATGCCTCTGGGTGTTGGCAAACAGAGAGGGGGGAGCCTCGGGAAAGCGATGAGCCTGTGCAGGAGTCCGGCAACGGTTGTGGCGTGGCCTGGGGGGTGCTAGTGGCATGTAGACCCTGGTGGGGATGACGACTTGAGAGAGGGCGGGACCCCAGTTTTCTGCCTGCGGGCGACGGACGTGCGGGTCATTGGACTCAATGGAAGAGGCCGGGATGGTGCCCGGCAAAGGACCACTAGGCGCCGCGCGGCAGCCGGACCCCTCGGCCGGGGAACGGTTTCCGCAGGGAGCACCGCGCCGCGGACCGGAAGTGGGGGCGGAAGTGCGACGCGTTCGTCGCCGGCTGCGCGCCCCAGCCAGCCAAGTCCGGGCCGCCAGGCGGCGGTTGAGTTGCTGGTACTTCCGCGGAGGCACGTGAGCCGAGAGGCGCGGGGACGCTGCGGCTGGCTCTTCGTCTAGACACTGAGGCCTAGAGCAGTCGAGTGAGTCGCCAGGGGCCGCGTGGATTTGCGTCCCGGGACGCCCTCTCGCCACGTCAGCCGCACCTGGTCGCCCACCTGGGCGCGGCGGGGAGCGGAGGGTTGGAGCCGGGTCCGGGAGTTCTGTAGCCCGGCCTGTCGCGCTCCAGTGCGCGTGGAGCTTGCGGACTGCACTTGCTGCTTCTGGCAGCCGGGCGGCGCTGGAGGGCGAGGCAGGGCACGCTCAGCGGGGACGCAGCAGGCTTCTCCAGGGGAGGGACGTCCTGAGGTGACCGGTTCAGTGGCCTGGTACCCCGGAAAGGCTGGCTGAAAACAGAGTCTTGTTGTCTTCCCCGTGTCTGTGCCAGACAGAACAACCTTTTGTGCCATTACCACACGCCAGCATCACTTACTGGAGCGGCTGAGACCCTGAGATGTGCAAAGGCGTTTTGTCACACGGACCCAATCCTCTGTGCCCTCCTGAGAACACGCTGATATGCCCAAGATAACTCTGAATGGTGTGACGGTGGACTTCCCTTTCCAGCCGTACAGATGCCAGCAGGAGTACATGACCAAGGTCCTGGAATGTCTGCAGAAGGTAAAGGGGCAGACCCTGACGGATTGGTACTGGGGGATGGGTCAGCATGGGTGGAGCTTCAGCAGGGGCCTAATGTACTGCGACCTTCCCGCCCATTCCAGCCTGGCCCTGCTGCGTGAATGGCAGTGTTCTGTCATAAATAGGGCTGATGTTCTTGGTGGGGTAAGAGAGACAATAAACAAGCAAACAAAAAAGATAATTCCAAGTAGTGGCAGGCTTGGGAGTGCCATGGGGGCCTCTCTGAGGAAGTGGCGTTTGACCGATGCTGGTTGACGAGCAGTGGCCGCCATTTGAGGGTCTGGAGGAAACGTGGTCATGTAGAGGGGCAACTGGTGTCCAGCCCTCACTTAGGAAGGTCTTTGGCGCTCAGGGTAGTGCAGGGAGGTGGAAGGGGGGGGGTAGGTTTCTTTCTACTGGGTGTTGAGGTGCCCTCTTATACCCTGCTTACTACCCGCCCCCCCCCACCCAGTTCCCCAGTTAGGCTCACATCTGAGACCTTGTATGTAGGACATCAGGTTCCATTCAGATGGAATAGTGCAAAAGCCTGGATTTAGAACTACAGAACAATTTCCTATTTTGAGACTTGGCACCTAATTAGTCATCTTGCTATTTATATTAGGCTGAAAAATACTGTCACATTTTGGGTAATACTCTGCAAATTGATTGCTAATGAGGGCTGAATTAATCTACACCTTTTGGGTTGGGGATGGACTTATCCATGGTTCCATGAGGCCTTTGCCATCCGACGGTGGGCTATGCATCTGAGAACTGTCTCTAACTGGTTGTCGGGGCTTGCCTTGGGGCAGGTTTTGTGCCCTCACTTGTCTCCCTGCTTCCCCATGACCCCTGTTCCCGATCCTTTTCAGAAGGTGAATGGCATTTTGGAGAGCCCCACGGGCACAGGCAAGACGCTGTGCCTCCTCTGCGCCACGCTGGCCTGGAGGGAGCACCTCCGAGACACCATCTCTGCCCGCAAGATTGCCGAGAGAGTGCAAGGGGAACTTTTCCATGATCAGGCTTTGTCATCCTGGGGGAATGCTGCTGCTGATGGAGACCCCATAGGTGACCCTACTTCCCAGGCCTCTCCTGGCCTTGTATGGAGTGTTCGGGAGGGTATCGGGCTAGGGCAAGTACACCTGGGCTTCTTCCATATCTCGAGCAGAGCTGAACAAGGAGAATTTTGTAGCTGCCACATCATTTGTCACCATCCTGGGTATAAACCTAGGGTTGGGGCTTTTTTTGCTGAATTAGGTCACAGCAGATACCCACTTAACCCATTTCTGGTGCTGCGTGTGTTAAACACGTACATGGGGACATTGTCTCAGAGCCATGACCTGTTGTGTTTCCTCGTGCCCGGCAGCTTGCTATGCAGACATTCCAAAGATCATTTATGCCTCCAGGACCCACTCTCAGCTCACGCAGGTCATCAGCGAGCTTCGGAGCACCTCCTACCGGTGGGTTGCACAGGTTCATCCTGCTTCAAGGTTGGGTGGTGGTGTCAGGTGAGGGCTGGGCTGTCTCCGGTGCCCATTAGTTGCGAGAAAGCAGCTTCGAATGTACATGTTGACCTTGGGCTGGCACCCTGAGCCCCTTGCAGGTGCTGTTGTGTCATCTGTGGCGTGGGTCAGGATTGGCCATTTATGCAGCCTTGCATGTGAAGGGGGAGGAGGAGGCTCTACCCCTCATCAGAGCCCAGCAGAATCTTAGTGTCCCACCCTGGCTCTTGTGAGTGGAGGATGGACAGCGGGGTCACTAGAAGCTCTCTCAGTCCCTTCTGTCCAGTTTCCCATGGCTTGTCACCTTGTTCTCTCACTTGGTCCACTCCCTCTGGTCACTCATGCTGCTGGACTGCACCATGGGTTGTCTGTTGGAGGTAGTTCCTCCTCAACCCCACGGTTCTTTCTTTGGCCAGGCCCAAGGTGTGTGTGCTGGGCTCCCGGGAGCAGCTGTGCATCCACCCTGAGGTGAAGAAGCAGGGGAGCAACCACATGCAGGTGGGCTCCTGGGGCACCCACCTCTGCCTCCTGATTCTGCTGGGTGGGTCCTGCTGGTCTGTTAGAGCCCCTGGCTGTGCTCCAGCAGATGCTGATCCCTGACCCTGTTCCCCCTCCTGGGTGGGCTAGGGTTTAAAGTGTACCTGGGGGGCAGTGGGAGAGGAGGGGGAGGGGCAGAGTTTGGCCCTTTCTTGGCCTCTGCTCCAGCCTTGCTCTCCGCCCTTCCTCTTGCAGATACACCTGTGCCGCAAGAAGGTGGCTAGTCACTCCTGTCATTTCTACAACAACGTGGAGGGTAAGAGCCGCTTGTTAAAGCTGCTGCCGCCAGTCAGCTCACTGTGGGCTTGGGGTGGGGCGCACATGACCTCTTAGGGCTGAGCTCGGGGTGCCACAACCTGCTTGCTCTTGTCCTTTGTGGCGCCATTGAGGCTAAGTGTTCATGTGCTGTCTTCTGTGCTATAGTCTGCCAGCAAAGCTGGCCTTCGCTCAGCGTCTAGGAACTTGGATTTTGTGAGGGCTCCCACGATTTCCCTACAGGAGGGGCTCGCTGCGCCTGAACCATTTGTGCAAACAATGGGTTTATGCTGAACACCTGCTGTCTCTTCTGGGAGGCTGGGATTTGGGTGCATGCCTGGCAGTGGGTGCCTTTATGACCAGCCCCCAATAAAAACCTGGTGCTGAGTCTCCAGCGAGTTTCCTGGCTGACAGCAATCCACACCTGTTGTCACAGCTCATGGCAGGGGATGAAGCCCGTCCTGTGAGACTCACTGAGAGGCTCTGGAAGCCGCGTTTGTTCTCCCCTGACTTCACCCCCTGCGTTTTTTCTCTTTGCTGATTCAGCTGTGTGTCCTTCTGTTGTGATAAGTTACAGCTGTGCGTGCAGCTCTGTGCTGAGTCCTGGGGGTGGCCTAGGGATGCCCACAGCTGTCTCAACCAGAGATGGGGTGAGTGAGTGAGCATGGGGTTAGTGACAACAGCTTGCCCAGGTGACTGCAGGTGCCCACGGCCTGTGAAGGGCCCCAGGTCCGGGGCTGGCACCAGTGTCCTTCCTCTAAATCTCTGCTGTTCACCCACATGCTACCCCTCATGTCTGTCAGAGAGTTCTGGGGCTCATCACAGATGCCCAGAGACAATAGCAGGGGCCACCTCTTTGCAGTGTGGTCCTCATGGTTTCCTGTAATCTGAAGGGTTGCACATATGCAGTCAGGGTTGCCTGGCTTGGAGTACAAGCTTCTGTGGGATCAGGGTTAGCTGTTTTCTTCCTCAGGGTTGGGATTATGATTCTAACTCAGAGCACAAGGGCTCAGGTGACACGGCCTAGAGCACTTGGTGGTTTGCTGTCTGCTCTGAAATTTGTTGAGTGCCCAAAGCACCAGAGCTGAGACCCCTGGAGCTGCCAGTGGTGCCCTGCCAGAGGCCTGAGCTGCAGGTCCCCCACAACCCAGCACCAGTTCCCTGCCCCTTGGAGAGATGGAGTAGAGCATGGCCCTGCAGTGAGGACCCCATCTTGCCAGGAGAATGTTCTTCATTGCTCTCTTGTCTGCTGTGTTTTTTGGTCTGGCAGCACTGAGCACCCTCAGTCACCTTGATATGTAATTGTCCAGGCCTGCCGTGTGGCCCTGAGAGGGACTTTGTGCCTCTGGTATGCCCCCAGGTGCCCTGATGGTAGCTGCCCCCTCTGATCTCAGAGATGTCTAGAGGCTGTGTGCCAGAGGACCTTGGGGCAGCACCCGTGGAAGGGCTCCAGCCAGCTTTCCACAGCTGCCTGTGGGTCAGCACTCTGGGGGCTCGTTCCCTCTGCCACCCCCTCCTGCATAGGGTCCTGAGCAGAGAGTAGCTGAGAGTCCAGGGGAGGGGCTGGGAGCCAAGGGGAACTTTTGGCCCACAGCTGTGGAGGCCCCTGCACTGGAGACCCCATCCTAACTGCCCCAGGCTCTTTGTGGCAGGGGAAGGAGCCATCCCAACTGGCCTGGTGGCCCTGGCTCCATCTGTCTGCTCCACCAGACCTGTAGGCTCAGTACTAGAAGCCACAGACCAGAGACCAGCACACCCTCTGTGGCTCTGGCTCTCTCACTGCCCAGCCTGCTGGGGGGTCACCTAAATGTGAACCTGGGCATCTTTGCTGGGTCTGTCCCCTGGACAGGCTTGAGGGGGTCTCCAGCAGCTGCTCAGCCCTGCCATCTTTGGAGTGGGCTGCAGCCCAAGAAAGGGTCTGAGAGGAAGGGGAGGCGTTTGTGTGGGCAAATGAGGGAGTGGAGAGCTGGAGCCCTGCCTAGCCTGCACCCTCTAAGACCCAGGGGGTGGGGGTGGGGTAACAACAGCACAGGGCAGTGTGCTGATTGGCCAATCTGTTGCTATGGTGCTGCTTAGGCAGGAGCCTTTCCTGGGGGCATTTTGGGGTTGGGTCACCACTGGCATGTGTGTGTGTGCACTCGCGCACGTTCTGGCCTCTGCCACTAAGGGTTAGGCCTCATCCCTGCTGCTGAGGGGGTCCGGCACCTGCTGGGGGTGGACACAAGCAGCTACATGGAGCCAGCAGCTGGAGGGAGGCCCCATTCCCACATGTGGCTGCCCTGAGACTGGGATGCTTGTCAGGAGAGGTCCCTGGTCTTGCCTGCTAGGGCATGGGGCCTGGGAGTTGCTCCCCAAGCAGCTCCCCAAGGATTTCCTGTGGCTCCACTTTGGGGGCCTGTGCCCTGGGGGTGGGGAGGGGCAGAACAGCCCCTCTTCCACAAATCACTGAGGTTCTTCCTGACCTGTGCCCTACAGCCAGCATGGGTGTCACCTCTCCCCCAGAGTGACAGAGATGCAAAGGATTACTCAAAGCTCATTTCTTCTGATCAGTGAGAGGCCCGAAAACAGTTACCCCCAGGAATAATTCTTTCAAGAGAAGAAAGATCCCACGAATAGCCCCGAATCAGGTTCTCTCTCTGTTTTTATTCTCTAGGCAAGAAAGTTACAGAAAAGGAACATAGGTGGTTACAAAAAGAACAGTAAGATATTTGTCATAGCAACAGTCATTAGGTTTAGCTGCACCAAGGACATCTGCCCTTAGAGCCAGCAATTTTGCTGTGTTACAATTCTTTATCTACGACAGAGACTTTAGCCCGGGGAAAGCTTTCTGTCTTTCCCAAGCTTAACACTTCTATGTGCAATACCAAAAAGTCAGGCTCTGTGAAATACATGTGCTTATAAATGCTGGTATTCTCCACACATGGGTGGTGCCTGTTCTAAGGTTGCCATCCTGGGGAAGGGGATGGGCCCCCACTGGGATTGAGGGGCAGGGTAGATTCTGCCTCTGGTTCCCCTTCCTGCCCTCTGCCTGCCTGTGCCCTGCCTCAGGTCCTGGCTGTCCTTCAGGTGGAAACTCTGGGTCTGTCTTAATTGGTGGAGAAGCTGAGCAAGAGAAGGTAGCACTAATCACAGGACAGGCTTCTCCAGGGGCTTATGGGAGATGCCTTTGGGCTTGTGGCAGAGTGGGGGGCTTCCCACAGGAGGGCTGGGTGTGGTAACCACTCCTGTCCTATCATGGGGCTGTCTAGGGGTGAATAGGATGCTCGAGACCCTTAGAGACGGCCTTGGCATTTGTCTCCGTGACTGACCCACAGCCTCAGGCCAGTGCCTGCCTTCTTGGGTACAGAGCAGGGCTCCTTGAGATCACTTTGGATAGGGGCCTCCCCTGGGGACCTGAGACCCACCAGGCAGGGATCTCTAGTGAGTCCTCCACACTGTCCACTATGTAGGAGCCATTCTGTCCTGGTTGTTCCCTGGGGCCTGGGGAGACTCAGTGGGTCTCCAGGGTGCGTGTTTATTCCTGCCTCATATCTGCAGAGAAAAGCCTGGAGCAGGAGCTGGCCACCCCCATCCTGGACATTGAGGACCTTGTCAAGAGCGGGAGCAAGCACAAGTGAGAGCCCTCCTGGCACGGCGGCTGCTGCTGTCCCTTCCACAGCCAGACTCTCCCATGATGTGTAGAGGCGTGGATGTATTACTTTCCTTTTCCCTTTTTGAATTATGAAACTAAAAGTTTTTTAGGAAGCCGTTCTGAGGAACGTAAAGTAGAAAATGAAGCCGCCTTCTCCCTCCCCAGCCCCCAGTCCACTCCCAGCTGGCCACTGAGCAGTGTGGACGGGCGCTTGCGGGTGTTCCGTGCAAGTGCAAAAGCATGCACACAGTCTTGCTTGTGCTGCTCATTCTCTGCGGAACTCTTCTTCACTGCTGTGTCTTGGACAGCTTCTCACATTGCTGCTTGCAGCCTGGTCTCATTCCTTCTGAGGACAGCAAGTCTGTCAACCTCTGACAGCTTCAGGGATTCAAATCGTGATAAGGCTTTCTTACCCCGAGGGGAAGAAGTTCTACATTTTTTTGTACTCCTGTATTGTTTTTGTTTCTAATGACCTCTATCCAGGAAGAGGGCTGGGTGTTTTGTTTTCATGGTTTAAATAGGTGATGCGTCCACCCGGTTGAAAATCCACATGCCTCCTCACCCACTGAGGCCCCACATGCAGAACAAGGCTCCTCCCAGTCAGAGTACACGGCTGCCCCTCTCGCACATCCCCTGCCTAGGGTGCTTATGGCGTCTTCTCTCCCTCTCCGCCCAGAGTGTGCCCTTACTACCTTTCTCGGAACTTGAAGCAGCAAGCCGACATCATCTTTATGCCGTACAATTACTTGTTGGATGCCAAGGTGAGGACTCAGCCTGTGCATCTGGCGATTCCTGACATCCAGGGGGTGTCCCTGGGCTTGGGAGGAAGGGGCCATCTGAGCCTTTGCGTGTTCAGGGCCTCAGAGTAGCAGGCGTGGGCAGGAGGAGGGAGGACCTGCCTCCATCACTGGTCAGGGTGTCAGGACCCGGCCAGACGCAGCTGTGAGAGCCCAGGGATGGTGATCTGAGCAACCTGGGAGTGAGCAGGCTGGTGGGAGAGAAGAGGCCACTGGGCTGTGACCAGCAGCCAGGACTTGGCTTGGTCCTGACAGTTGGGCTCAGCTTCTTTCTTTCGTAACAGACTGTGGGAGGGGTTTCTTTTCTCATACAGGTCTGTCTGCACGTCTTTTTGTGCCTCTCTCCTTTTATTTAACACAGGTGGGATTGTACTCCATGTGTTTAGCGACTTGTACTTTTGCATAGTAATGACGTGGTGGAGGTCTTCCTTTCTGGGTTCCTTTGTTTATTCATTTGTTATCTCAAGCCCCCCCCCGTGCTGGGCACTGTCCTAGGTGCAGCAGTGGAGAAAAGAGGCATTGCTCGCATTGGATCTCTGATTCCAGGGAGAGGTAGACGAGAGAGAAAGTGCGTGAGCTGATGACACTCCAGGGCCGTGGGGGAAAGTGGAGCAGAGAGAGAGGGTGGAGACAGAGCTGGAGTGGGCAGGGAGGAGGCGAGGGGCGTGGTGGGGCAGAGGGGAGGGCAGGCCGCTGAGAGGGATTTGAGGCATGCGGAGCTGCTGCAGTTCTCTAACTCAGTGCTTTCCATGCTGGCTGCTGTGGGAGCCACCTGGAGAGAACACAGGCTGGGGCCTGCATGGGAACTACAACATCACAACTGATAAGCTGATTTTAACATTTACACGGAAATGCAAAAGGTCAAAGAGAGTGAGACAGTTTTGAAGAACACAGTTGGAGCACTTATCCCTCCTCATTTGGAGCCTTAACACGAAGCCTCGGTGGGGGAGGCAGTGTGCTCTGGCTAAAGACAGATGCACAGACTGGCAGAGCAGTGAGTCCAGACAGACCTGCACACAGGCAGTACTTGGTTTTTGAGAAGTATGCCAAGGTAATTCAGTGGGGAAAGGAGAGTTGCTTTTGTTTTTTTCAAAAACTCGTGCTGGAATAGCTGGATATCCATTTGGAAAGCAGTGAATCTTAGCTATTATTTAAATGTAAAAGCTGAAACTAAGAGTTCTAGAAGGAAATGTGGGGGGAGGTCTTTGCAACTGTGGGGTAGGCTGAGATTTCTTAGCTACACACAAAGTACTAGCCATAAAGACAAAATAAGAAATTGGACTTCACAAAAATTTAAAATCTCAGCTCTTTGAAATAGTTAGGAAAATTAAGAAAATTAAAAGGCAAGTCACAGGGAGACTTTCAAAGGGCACCACTGGGAGATCCCCAGAACGGTTGATTGGCAGTTCTGCATGTGGGAAGGGGCCCAACCTCACTGGTCATTGGGAAAATGCAGATTAAAACCACAGGGAAATAATACTGCGTTCCCTTAGAAAGACTTAAAATAGCAAAGTGAGGATGTGGCATGGCTGGAAGACTTATCTGCTGCGATGGACATAAAATGGTGCAGCTGCTGTGCAGACAGGCACGCACCAGATAGCCCAGCTGAGAGGAGGGAAACCCGTGTCCAAAGGCTTGTGTGTGCACGTTCACCGGAGCTTCATTTACAGTTGCCAAAACCTGGAAGCAAGCTGTGTGTCCATCAGCTGGTGAACAGGCAAATCATGGGTTAGTTGGTCTCTGAATCAGTGGCTTCCACATCCCAGAATTCAGCCGTGGACCGAAATATTTGGGAAAAAAAACAAAAGATAATACAGATTTTAAAAAACTACAGCTTAACAGCTGTTTACATAGCATTTACATTGTATTAGGGATTATAAGTAATCTAGTGATGATTTAAAGTATGCAGGAGGATGTGCATAGGTTATATGCGAATACTATGCAGTTTCATATCAGGGACTTGAGCATCTGTATTTTGATATGCTCGGGAGGTCCTGGCACCAATCCTCCATGGATGCTGAGGGACGACTGTGTGTCCATAAAGCAGAACACTACCAGCAGGAACGATGAGTGGCCAGGTCCCACAGCATGGAGTGGATGAGTCTCAGACGTGCTAACCCATAGACGCCAACACGGGGCGACCTACTATTTGATTCCATTTATGTGAAAAGGCAGGTGAAGTGTGGAGGCTACACAAGGCACATGTGTCAGAATTCAGCTGTACACTTAAAGTGGTCATTTACTGTGTGAACATTAATCTTCAAGTTCAGTTATTTAAGAAGAATACCAATGCTGGACCCACAGACTGCTTCCATCATGCTCAGGGGATAGGGCCTGGGCGCTAGGTTTTTTAATCTCCCCAAGTGTGCACTGAGGCAGAGAACTGCTGGGTTGGACCTACTTGGCTCCTCCACTTCTGTAGCTGCCTGGCTGCTGTGGCCTGCGACTCCTACACCTTCCTTGGCCATGGTGTTGACCATGGCCCAGGCCCCTTTGTGCCATGTGTGAACGTTTCCCCAGGACAGACACCTTATGTCAAGCTGCTGGTTTAGGTTAGGTAGACATTGCTGGGTTGCATCTAAAACCAGCCTTGACCAGTTGCTGCTCCTGATGGTCAGGTGTGAGAGGGCCTTTTACCTGGTCTTCAGCAGCAGTGTTTGCAGTCAGTGCTTGCAACATTTGCTGCCTGCTGTGTGCCTCGTGTCCCTCTCTTCCCTGCCTCTGTGAGCCTGCGCTCTTAGTGGGCCCTGTCTGCTCGGCTCCAGCCCTTTGTCTCTTCCCTTCTTCCTTGTAGAGTCGCAGGGCACACAACATTGACCTGAAGGGGATGGTTGTGATCTTTGACGAAGCTCACAACGTGGTGAGTCTCCACTGGCCTTGGTCCTAAACGCCTCCCATTTCTCCTGGCTGCTTTGTGGAGGAGCTCTGTCCAAACCCCAGTCCCAGGCTGTCAGGACTGCACATAGTTGGTGTTCCTGCTGCTCCCTCCTGACACCTACTATGGTCGAGGTGGGCCAAGCATGTACCCCTCAGGCACAGGGTGCGCATGCCAGCTCCTGACACGTGAGCCTGGCCTGGGGCTGTCTCTGCACTTCGCTTCTGTGCCAGAACAGCAGCAGCCCCTTGTCTTCCTGCAGTATCCCTGCCCTGCAGTATCTCCGCCCTACAGTATCTCTGTCCTTCAGGCCCCTTGGCCTGAGCCTTGGGAGGGCTGCTGGGCAGAGAGCCACTTGCCCTGGTGGTCACAGAAGCAGGAGCAGCTTGCAGAGCTCTTCCTGGCTCCGGTCATCCCTCGTCACCAGCACTCCCCCATGACCCCAGTCCTGCCTCTGTGGCTACTGCTCAGGGCTGAGCATTTCCAGGAATGGGTGGGAGGATGGCTCCTTGGACCAGCCACACCCAGCCACCCTGGACTGCAGCGAGCACCCTCAGCCCCAGCTTGGTTCCAGGCAGTTGTTCCATGGGGGATGGCGGGCCTGTGTGCCAGGCCCTCTGACTTGAGAGAAGCCAGAAACCTAGATTTTAATGGGAAATTTTCTAATTATGAAGTGTTGGCAACTCAAGTAAAATAATTGTTAAATATTTGTGTGGGCCACAGTCATCTTTGGACCAGCTTGTGACATGGCCTTAGAGATCCTGGTTGGGGCTTTGGGCACCTGGTGCTCAGCTTCCTGTGCCTTCTGCACCTCCCACCCTCACCCTGTTCCTGCTTCCTGGAGCCCCTTGCTCCTGTCCTGCACTGCCGTGACCCACGTGCTTGGGCTCACAGGAGAAGATGTGTGAGGAGTCGGCGTCCTTCGATCTGACCCCCCATGACATGGCTTTGGGGCTGGATGTCATAGACCAGCTTTTGGAGGAGCAGACCAAGGTGGTGCAGCAGGGTGAGCCCCACCCAGCGTTCAGTGTGGACTGCACCAGCTCAGGTGAGTTTACAGCTAGGAACCAAAAACACCAACTGAGAGATGGCATCTCATCCACCCAGTGGCCAGAGCTGCTTTGAGGTTGGAGCCTGCAGGCAGCTGTGTGTGGCCTGCAGGGTGCCTTCTGTTGAGGTCGGCATAGGACAGCATCAGCTTTTCTAAGGCTTCTCAGGGTCAGGATCTCGTAGAACAAGGAGAGTGGTATTGTCCAGTAGTTCTGGCATTTTCCAAGACCTTATGTCCTTTCCCAGCCTTTGTTTACTTGCCTTCTACTGTGTAAGATTGGAAAACCAAATATATTCACTGTAAGGGCATTTTCCAGTGACCTATGAATCCACTGCTGTGTATAACTTGCTGTTCCATGGATTCTTTCCAGTTTGTGTGTGTGAGCATGTTACGCAGCGTGATCATGGCATACGTAGAAACCTTTTGTGGACGTGGCCAGTGTGTCCATATTTCTGCATGGTTTCTGTTAACGGCTGACTAGGCTCAACCAGACCACCTTTTAATAGATACTTAACTTGGTTGTGGGATTTTAACGTTTGTAGGCAGTGCTGTGTGAGTGTCTTGAAACGTTCTGCTGTGTCCTCTGCTGGGATGTGGGGGTCTCAGTGTGAGTAGCCTCAGCATCCCTTGTTTTTCTTTAACATCACACATGTGGACAGACCCCTCAGGGAGGCAGAGGCCTGTGGTGGGACCCCTCCTCGCCCTCCTCTCCCAGGGTCCCCCAGCCCTCCTTTGATGCATTCACATGCCTGTGTTGATAGAGAGGGTTTGTAAACCTGGTGTGTGTTTGTTTAGCACAGAAGTTCTCAAGCGTTTTAGCTTCAAGACCCCTTTACATTCGTAAAAATTATTGAACTTTGTTTTTGCAAGTTATGTCTGTTGATAGTTACTGTACTAGAAATGAAAACCCGAGGACTGGCCTGTTAGCTCAGTTGGTTAGAGTGTGCTGCTGATAAAAAAATGAAGGGCCGGCCCCGTGGCGCACTCGGGAGAGTGCGGCGCTGGGAGCGCAGCGACGCTCCCGCTGTGGGTTCGGATCCTACATAGGAATGGCCGGTGTGCTCACTGGCTGAGCGTGGTGCGGGCGACACCAAGCCAAGGGTTGTGATTCCCTTCCCGGTCACGAAAAAGACAAAAAAAAAAAAAAAAATGAAAACAGAAATTTAAAAATGTCTGCTTATTTAAATAAACCACTACATGTCAGATTAGTTTCCCAGGGCTGCCATAACAAAGTACCACAAACTGGGTGCCTCAGAAGAGCAGAGGCCCCAAGTCCAGATGCAGGGCTGCCTGGGTGAGCTCAGTTGGTTGGAGCCTGGTGTTATAACACCAAGGTCAAGGGTTCAGCTGCCAGCTGCCAACCAAACAAAACCAGATCAGATGGCCGCAGGGTTGCTCCTGCTGGGGGATCTGGGGCAGACTTGTGCCTTGCCTCGTCCAGCTCCCGACAGCTCCAGTCTCTGCTTCTATCTTCACATGGTCTTCTCTCCTGCGCGTCTGTGCCCAAATTTCCTTTTCTTATAAGGACGCCACTCATTGGGTTTAGGGCCACCCTGATCCACTATGACCTCCCCTTAACTTGATTACATGTGCAAAGACTCTGTGTTCCAAATAAAGTTACACTGACAGGTACCAGAGGTTACAATTTGAATGTATGTTTTTGGGGGGTACAATTCAACCCATAACACATGTTAACATAAAAAATATTATTCCTGAAAAACATTTTATAAATGAGGAGTGGCATTGTCTCACAGTTTTGCAAGTGTTTTTTTTTTTTTTTTTTTTTTTTTTTTTTTG